CCGGGGACCATCTGGGTGGGTACTGCCGGCCGGACCGGGGACCATCTGGGTGGGTACTGCCACCTGGACCGGGGACCATCTGGGTGGGTACTGCCACCTGGACCGGGGACCATCTGGGCGGTACTGCCACCTGGACCGGGGGCCACACCCCGGTCATGCCATCCGGACCGGGGACCATCTGGGTGGGTAATGCCGCCTGGACCGGGGACCACGCTAGACATGACTTCCGCCGCCTGGACTCCCAGGCCCCACACCGGCGGTGGACGCTGTCACCTGGTTCCGGGGCGGGTAAGTGGGGTGGGGGGGGGGGGCGTGGGGTGAGGTGGGGAGATACTGTACCCGAACCCACACTGAGGGCAGGGGCGGCGGGGTCACTGCGAACCCGACAGGTCAGCGGCGGCGGTAGTTGCCGAGAGCTGGGCCCGTCCTGCGCCAGTGACCATCACTGCCAGCATTGCTGAGCGGTAGTCAGTGGGAGTCCAAGACCATGCCAAGCTGAAGAGGGTGGAGAGGGGTACAGGGTTCGGAGTCTTTATGCCTTCTAAGAAGACAAATTTTCTGCAAACGCCAATGTGCAACAGGCTAAGCTTTATGGTTGCAGACTGAACGCTACAATTGAAACCACATTAACCGCGTCTGAAAGCCCACGGACCCAAGCATCATGATGAGGTCCTGATGTATGACCATGACGCTGCGATTTGAACATTCAAAAGGAAAATATCACTTAGCCTTACTCACCGTGCCGCAAACTCAATTACACCATTAACGAGGCCTGCACCATTAAAATTTCATTACAATAATTGCGTTTAATTAAGGCTGCACCAGCCAGGCGGGAAACGTGTACAGTGCAGAAGCGAATGGCGGCGGTGGCGGTCATTACCCGACCAAAGGCCAGCTTCATAAAGCAGTACATGACCGTTTTAAAATCGCATGGTGTAAGCGTAAAAGGACAAGTGGTTCAATTTTGCACCATATTTGTTTAAAATTACCATCAAATGGAATGAATCTCAGGTAAGGCAGGTAGCTGTCGGCCCACATACTTCACGCAGATGTGGGATCTCCCGAAAAAAAACATTGCGCAGGGATCAGAGACAGAACGTATAGCTAGACAAATGCACGCAGGGTTCTGCGGTTCTCACCGGTGGCGAATTTTGGTGAATTTGTTGGAATACTGGGAAACAAAACCAACATGGGAAAATAATGGGGAGTATACGTCGTGGAAATTACAAAGAGATGGAAAGCTTCACTGACACCCTCGCGGTGTTCACTGAAGAATCGTGGACGCTGTAGTTTCCTTCTATGAAACCAGTTGGCCACGCCTGGCCGGCGACGGCGGTGCCCCTCACCTCAGTCCGTCTCACGCTTGTAGAGCTTCTGCCGATCATTGAAGTCGCGTAGCCGCTGGTTGTAGTACTCGAGCTGCTGCCTCAGCCTGTTGTCCTCCTCCTGCCGAAACCGAGGGCGTCAAACGCTGACACGGACCGTCGGGTCAGTCGGGGCGGAACTCTTTGGAGGTGTGGGGCCCACCACTCCATGCTTGTTCAACCGGTCCGCAGGGCGCGCGGTGACGGCGGAACCCGACCCGGCCAAGCTCGCGTCGCCGTCGTCAGCGCCCGGCTTGCGCGAACCGATCAGACCAGGCAACGTTTCACAACACGCGAGACCGCGACAGGGTAAGTAACACGTGTTTGCAAGCTGTGCCGGCACACGCCGCGACACGATGTCTCGAAGGTGCATGCCGGAAGCTTCTGCGAGTGACTCATTGGCCGACCGAAGCCACCCCACCATCTGGCGTAGCACTGACCTGAGCCACCCCCACCATCTGACGTAGCCACTAACCTGAGCCCCTCCACCATCTGATGTAGCCACTGACCTGAGCCACCCCACCATCTGGCGTAGCCACTGACCTGAGCCCCCCCCCCCCCCCCCACCATCTGGCGTAGCCACTGACCTGAGCCACCCCCATCATCTGACGTAGCCACTGACCTGAGCCATCTCGTCGTCGAACTCGATGGCGCCGGTGCCGCTCAGGCTTTCCAGGTTGATGGCTCCCTTCCACCGCACGCACACGCCGTTCAGGATAATGCTCTTGGAAGTCAGGTGCACCTGCGGACGGGACGGGCCCGGTCAGGAGCCGCTCTCTTGACCACGTCCGCTCTCCTGACGCCCGTCAGACGGGTCATCTGTCACGTGCTAGGTGATGTCTGAGACCGGCCACTGTTGCCACGTGATTGACCGATCCCACCGGCCAAAAATCAGTCAGTCAGGTCAGCTTTCGTCCTCGCACAGACACAGGCCAGACGTCAAGTCGGGTCGGAAGCAGCTCCTCCAGGCCCCCGAACGTGCCGTTCACTCGACACAGGTCAACACGGGTCGACAGCCCGACGATCCATGCGCCAACGGTCTGCGGTCGCATTGAGGTTGGCGTCGGCAGACATCAAAGTGAAGCCGGCCGACCTCAGCCGCTCAGTCGGCCCACTTAGCGCCGATCACGAGCTTCATTAACGCCCACCCGCTCAGAGGTCAGCGGTCAGGGCAGGGGCGACGCCAGCGCGGGGGGCCGGGAGGACAAGGGCAGCCCACCTCACGACGCTCGCGGATGCCCGCGTTTGGCGACTGAGGCCATGAGCAGACGAACGAATTTCGGCGAAGGCTCTGAAGCATTCACCTTGAGCGCAAACCCAACGCCACCAAGGTTAGACATCAATGTCGTGAATGCCAACAGGCAAGGCAGCCCCGAACTCGACCGCCGCTTCGTAAGGCGCTTGCCGTCAGTGAGTGTTGAACGCACAACCTCACCGACGCCAGCCGAGAGCGGCACTCTCGAATCCATAGCGCATCCCGCGTCTCGCCACGGACGTACCGGTCCAATGAGAGCCCTCTGGAGCGTGCGCGCAGTTCGTCTCGGCCGGCGCGCGCGCCGCCCGCCGCGCGTGCTCGCGCCAGAGCGCGCCGGCTGAGAATGGAAACGCCCCGCCTGATGCTGTGCACACGCTTTCCCGGCGGCGACTGTCGTTTGGCTCCAACGGTGGGAACGGCCCGCACGGGCGGACTCAAGCCACCGGCGCGAGGGTCTGGCAGCTTCCTTCGATGACCGCGGTGGAATGAGTGAAGGACTGAGAAAATCGTAAAATGTGCAGGTGTGCAAAGTTGCTATCCCATCCACAGATGTGATCTTGTTCTGAATACTCGTTGGTTTTGGGATGAGCGATCTTTCACAGTCGGGCTTTTCCAATTGAACAACATGAAATATTCTCTTACAGGCAAAGTGAAAGTGCTCAATGTCACTGGAGAAAGAAAGCCAGCCGAGCGAACTCAAATCCGACCACAAAGCCTAACGAGTGCACTCATGGACCCACCATGTTGGACAGAAAAGTTTTGCATTCATTGTCTGGCAGAAGGAGCAGACGGCTGAGAAGGCCACGCCCACATTCAAACACTCAAAAGACGCCAGACGGCGGGCGTCCGCCTGAGCAGCGGAGCGCAATATCTTGTCGGCTGTTATCTCACAATCGCTATCACAGGATAGAGCCCCAAGTCTCCGAAGTCCCTATATTGCAGACTTTGGGCGAGCGGTCTGAACTGAGGCCGTCAGCATGGAAATCCATCACCGGATGGTTGGGCCAAGCGGTGTGCAGCCTGACTCTGTCTTAAGCGGAGAGTGGAGGCGGTGTGCAGCCTGACTCCGTCTTAAGCGGAGAGTGGGGACGGTGTGCAGCCTGACTCTGTCTTAAGCGGAGAGTGGAGGCGGTGTGCAGCCTGACTCTGTCCTGAGCGGAGAGTGGGGGCGGTGTGCGGCCTGACTGTCTCAAGCGGAGAGAGGCATGGCCTGTTTTACAAGCTCTTCGCCGCTAGGTCTGTCTTGCCACGATTTCGACCTTTTGAGTTTGTCGCATTGTGATTAGAGGGGTCGGCCGTAGCAAGCCAACCCCAGTGTCCAATTGCAGCTCATTTTATGTCCAGGGGGCGCCAGGCGAACCAGAGCCGTAGCCCTCTGTCGGAGCACAGCGCTTTCCGTGGTCAGCCGACCCAGGAGTGGATCAATTCCAAATTCATGTGCCGGTATTGGCTGGTTTTTGTCATGGCTTCATGCTTCAAACCATCCTCCGTTTCGCGGAACTGTGGTGCTCAGGCGAAGGGTACTCAGCACTGACTCATGACTCCTGAGTCTCGTTTTACGGACATTCTGATGCATATCAGTAAAATGGGCAAGCATGGAACAGTTCGCAACCCTAGTGCCAAGGGGGCAATAAAGCCATGGTTGCTAAGTGCCATAAACCCATAACACTCAGGGGCAGCCTGTAACATTGACAAGCAAGCGATTTTTCTCTTGGCATTTGCAAGCAAGAACAACGGCGAACCCACAAGATGGCGGCTGCGGACCCGGGCGGAATGTGACGCACGCGCCCCATTCAGGACACCGCGCCTGGATCACCGTGGATCAGGGGCGTCTGTCGCACCTGACGCGGCCGGGTGATCCGTGGATCAATGTCCAGGCCGCGCCGCGCCCATAAACCCCGCCTCATATCCATAAAACCCGTGGGCCACGCCGTTACCGCCGCTTTACGAGTGGACACCACTCGCCGACCCCTGCCGAGATGACACTTTAATTACCTCAAACACAAATTTACCCAATTACGGCGCATCTGGGCCACGCGCCGGCCGTGCTGCACGCGGCACGCGGCGCCTCTCGCACGGCACGGCACGTGCACGGCTGCAGGTAAATGTTTGATTCGACGCACCTGGCGGGTCGCGCGGCGCCGGACGCCGTGAACGCCGCACAACTGGTCCCCTGTCCCCGCGCCCCGTTTGTTTTCTTATGCTCCAATGGCGCGAGATTTATGGCGGCCGATGGGGCGGCTCTCTTGACGCCGAGGACTCTGTTTATTATCTGCCGCGCCGTGTTGGCGCGTCCCGGCGCGCCGACGCGCGCTCCCGCCGGCGCGCCGGTAAACGGCGCGAAATGGCGCGGCCCGGCGGTGGACCAGCCGGCGGCGGAGAAGTCGACACATGCCGGCGCTGGCTTCTCGACTGCCTGTCTTGTGTCGACGCTACTGTTAAGACAGGCTCTGTCGCCCGCCCAGACTGGCTTCTCGACTGCCTGTCTTGTGTCGACACTGATATTAAAACAGGCTCTATCGCCCGCCCAGACATATACAGCGGGCAGGAGCGTGCATCGCGAAGGCTTTTGGCCGAACCTTGGCATTTCAGAAACCCGCGAGTGATGTCTGTGGCCAAAAGCCATTCGTGGAATATGCGTTCGGTCAGCACGACGTGCTCGGTCAACGGTGAAGAACCACATCAGTTATGTTCATTTTGGCTCGGTGATCTCAAAACATTTTTGTGAGGAGCCATGAGGCAGCTCACTACGCGTTTCGGTGGCGGACGCTTGAGTGGCCAGCAAGAGCTACCCGTCTTCCCGGCGAGTCAGAAAGCAAAGGCACCAGCAGCTGAACCACACTCTCCCTTTCAATTTAACCTAGCCAAATCGTTATTTTCGTGGACCAAATCTAGTCCTGAAATTGGTCTCACCTTCCTAAGGCTGCCGCAAACCTTCATTACCTGGTGCGACCCTTCCCATAATGTCCATGCAACTTCCATCCATTACGCTAGCCGCCGCCAAACCGCACGAGAAGTAATATACCTCGCCGAAATCACCCCCCCCCCCCCCCCACCCACCCAACACCTGTCTCATCGCTTCCACAAAAATGCAATAAACCCGGAATGCAAATCAGCCCAGCTGCACGTATGTACGCATCACCGGCGCTGCCGGAAGCACGGCTCGGATCCCAGCTCACCGCGCCGCGCGCCGGCCTCTCACCGCGCCGCCTTTGAGCGGCCGGTGCCTCTGCACGCCTCGACGCTGCCGCGCGCCGCGATTGCCGGCGGTGAATGGGCGACGCGGCGGGCGGCGTATTCGGCGCAGGTCACGCGGATGCGCCGCGGAACTGATTGCCGTCGACTCTGGCGCTCTGAGAGCCAGCCAGGTGCGAGGAGACGCGGCTGGAGCCCGGCTTGTGCGCGGCTCGCTCAGGGTATTGGGACTACCAAAGGGACGTTCCGATGTTATTTGTCGCAGTACCGGCAGGAAAAGTGGACATCAAGGATCCACTTTTGAAGAAAAAAAATGAAAAACTGTTCGAGTACCGCTTCTCCACCCAGGAGTTCAGAACCACCCAGGTGAAGTGCCAGGGCGGACTCCTTTAAACAGGTTATTATTTCTACCAATCCCCACATGCCCAATGTTTAACTTTTACGGAACGGTGGAGGGGGCTGTGTTCAACACCGACATCACGCTGCCCACCACATCTGTCGCATCATCAGCACCGATAAACTCGTCACAGGTCCAAGGCTGTGGGCTCAGATGTTCTGTGAGGCGTTATTTTCCATCCCGAGCCATACACATGCTAAATTTCGCAATTGCTGGGGTTTGTCTCCTTCATCTTTTAGAGAGGGGGACGATGATGCCCTGGTCGGTGACCAGGGCACGTACGGATGTGTCGGTGAGTTCTAGGGTGGGGGTGGAGGTGGGGTATTTGTCTCCTCCGTCTATTGGGTTAGTGGGGTCTATGACCAGGGCGCGGACGGGCCGTGTCCGTGCCTCAACTGACGCGAGACCCCGCTGGGCTTTGTGTTGGCTGTTGCAACGGCATGTGGTTCCATGAAAAGTGGTTGCTCGACTCGGGATTCCGCTCTAACACTGAGGGGCACTCTCTCAGGTACCGCCCGTCTCCAGAGTCTCTCTCTCTGACCCTTCGCACTGGTTTACTGGTTTGCTGGAAGTCGCTTAAACCAGCAACCAAAAACGAGGCAATAAGTCCCGGGCCCAAACCTTGAATACAAGTGTGGAGTGGTACGCACCGGTTGCAGTGCATTTTGCAGTGCATGCCAGCTGAGAAATTACCATTCGGCAGACGCCCAGCTCAATGGTTTGTCGCGCGAAAGCACCACAAGCATGTGATTTACGTCTCGAGTTGTGTTGATTTATGGCGTTGTTCAAATTACCGTATCCCATTAAGTAGCACACCAACACCTACTTCCCTGCCCGGTGGTTCGAATTAGCCGACTATCCTCGTCAGACATGGAGGCTCACTGTGGCAGCATTCGTGACTAGCTGAGACAACCTCATGGATTATGAGTCTGCGGCTGGCGAGAGCGAGGCAGACCTCAGCGCAGACTTCGTGGAAATCGGTCAGTTAGGCGGGTGAGAGCCTAGAAAACCCTACTGCTGACAGTGACAGAATGTAGCTTTAACCACTCACGACATTTTCGAATAATTATCAGTGACGGTTAACATGACAATGCCAGCCAGTAAGATGCTTTAAGGGATGGTCGAGGAGACAGCAGGGATAGGACCTGTCATCTCTTACCATGTGCATGACACCACAAGCTGGACACCAGGGACCATGACGACGGCACGAGCTCTGTGCCATTTGGCTGTTGTTTAGCGGTCCCTGGTGCTTGTTGCGGGACCCAGCAAAAAGCCAAAACAAGCAAAAGACAAAACAAAAACACACAACAAAACAGAAAATCTCCTCATTTCAGGATGGCATGGTTTTCGGCCCCGAGAAATCTGATAAATATCCGCTTGTGGCCATGTTCCCCTTCTTTCCACAACACTTAATCTCATAAACCCTAAGTAAGCTAATGTGGCGCGGCTTAATCACTAACTCGTAGTGAGTGCCAGTTCGGGGTGGGTACCCCCCTTCTCTCCACCTCCCCCCCCCCCCCAACACACTTTCGTGGGTCCCGGTTCGGTGACGGGGACGTTGTGAACAGACCAGACCATGCGACCGGATCAAAGGCACGCTAGGAACCCCGCTCTCCAACCTTCCCAAGGTGTTCGAGCTTTAACATGGCGTCTCTAGGTATGGTGTAGAAGCATTTCAAGATCCAAACAGCATTATCAGCTTTGGAAAGCTCCACCCCTCCACCTCCATCTCTACCGAAAAAGGCCCGACAGTACATGTGGGGCAATGCGAGCATCCCAGTGGCGTATTTCGGACGCGTTCTGCCGAGGGAAAATCATTTAGCGGCTAATTACCTCTTCGATAATCATCCACAGAGTTTCTCCATTTGGTTTCGGACAGTCCGGAAATCGTCCCCAGATTCGCCTCTCATGAGCCATACACAGCCAACGGTCATAGCCATGCTCAGCGAAAACAGATTGTCCGTCTTGACCATGCCCTGAAAATCATCGGGGATTCTCCCTGGGTGCGATAAATTATCTGGGATAATTTTTTGTGTTGGCAGTGCAGAACACCATTCTGAAGACTTCCAACATAATTTTCAGGGGTAATCTGCCGGCCGAGCGCACCTTTCTTCCGTGACCAGGCCGCGGCGACTGTAGAAACTCGCCGTAGTTGGCGACCAAAACGAATTTCTTCCGTGACCAGGCCGCGGGGACTGTAGGAACTCGCCGTAGTTGGCGACCAAAACAAATTTCTTCCGTGACCAGGCCGCGGGGACTGTAGGAACTCGCCGTAGTTGGCGACCAAAACGAATTTCTTCCGTGGCCAGGCCGCGGGGGCTGTAGGAACTCGCTGTAGTTGGCGACCAAAACGAATTTCTTCCGTGACCAGGCCGCGGGGAATGTAGGAACCAGCCGTAGTTGGGGACCAAAACGAATTTGGCTGTTTTGCCTACAACGTCATACAGCTAATAGTGATTTTTTCTCCGGCATGGGTGGGAAATATTGGATGCACCCAAGTTGAAACCCCTGGCCCATGTCGCCGGCGGGGGAGGGCGCAAGAGCCCGGTTCCTACGCCGCCGTCAGATTTCCCGCCGACGCGGTAATATGGCACACGCGAAGAATGCGTCCGGTGGTGACTTTAATGGGTTGTTCATGCACCGAAACACAGAAACATAATTGCAATGTCGCTACACAAAGTTATGCACGTGTGTTCGCAGTTGTTCAACTGCATGGGTGCGAATGAACAACTGCTATAAAGAGCGTGCTGTCGCCGTAAAAATTAAATCGCCATATGGGCTGTGATTGTTTCCCCAGAACTGTGCACGAGTCACGAGCGCTAGCGAGCGTTCAACCTATGGGCGTCGGTCTCGAAAAAGGGGTGGAGGCGGGGGGGGGGGGGGGTCGCGAAATCTTTATATTAAAAAGGAAATAGCGGTAAACACTGGGACATATCAGATTTTAAGGTTGAGTCTGGTCTTCCAACAAACAACTGACCGGAACAAATGCTTGAACAAAGTACCGCCCCCGGCGCATTTCTCTTTTTCAATTTAAACTCGCTATCAAACAAGCTGCAAAACGAATCCGCAGGACAGGATGATGAAGACGATCATTTTAAGGCTCCCAACGAGCAAGATTCTCTTGCACCTAAATATGTGACGGGAAATAATATTCGAGGACTATTTCTCATTGTAAGACTATATATTTCTTTCCTCCAATTGATGAAAGGCAATCTCGATGAATCATGTGCAAATAGCGCAGCCAGCCAAGATTATTCTTTATGACAAGACCTCTGGAATAATGTTGTCCAAATAGCGCGGCGTGAAAGATAAGATCTGTTGGAAGACCGGTGCGGCTGGCGACGGGCGCGCCGGCAATCGTCGTGTGGCAGGTGCCGTGACCACTTGGTGCAGGCGTGAGGCCGGCAGGGGGCTCACGACCGGGTCACGTAGGTCTTAAGCCGGGCTTAACACATACATTCACATACAGACACACCGACAGATACATTACAGACAGATACACAGATACAACACATACATTCACAGACAGACACACGCACACACACACACACATACATGATAGTTACAGTATCCCGGATCTGATCACCATGTGCCTTATGGCAGGAGGGTCGGTATTTTAACAGTTGACGGAGCCATGTACAGGTACAAAGCCTTGTCAAGGACATCACGTTGTCATGGGAAACCAAATAGGTCACATCTTCCAACATGCGATGCGTTCGTTTTCAGCCAAATGCGACGCCACCGGGTTTCATAATTGCATTACGGAACTTGTGCCGCCATTTTACTGCCAAAAGAGAGCTGAGCGTTGCTAAGTACATCTTTGCAGGTGTTTCGGAAAGAAAACTGCTTCTCATGTCGCAAAATAACCCCAGCAGTCATGGCAATTAATCTCCATAATCAGCTGCCAACGACGCCTACTTAATTACCAGTTCAAAGGGCGTGCGCATTGGTCATGGAGCCGTCTGCTTCCACCACATTGCAAACAGAAAACGAAGCTGTGTTTGCCAGGCGCCGCCGTCAAGACCCCCTCCTCAGACCCACGCAGTGTCTCTCTGGCCTCTAGGCGCAACCGTCCGATCGGCGAGAATAGGAAAACCATCGACTCCGACGGACAGAGTGGGGGGGGGGGGGAGGGGGGATCGGCAGCGCTGGCCCGGCGGCACGCGCACAGTGCTCAGCAGGCGCGCCCAGCGGCCAAGCTGGCCCCGGCGGGTCGCGGGATCGGCGTGCAGACCGCGTCTCAGCTTGCTTACCGTCCCAAAACGGCACGGATTTACTCTGTACCGGATGCGCCGGCCGGCGCGGCAGCGGTAACCAGCTACCGATTCAGAGTTGAGGGCTGTGAACGTTTTAGGTCAATTCTATTCATACGGCAATTTTCATTAAGTTTATCTTTATGCCCCATGATGAGATAATTTGGATGGGCGAAGTCATTCCGTCCGCCTCGCCGGTGGCTCCGCCCCTGCCGGCAGGAATGTACGAGCAATCGATACCAGGAGTAAAGGGCTGCTCATGCAGGGGAAGGACGGTGGTGCTGATACGAGGAAAGCATTGGACTGGCCCGTAGCGCTCCTTTCTTCTACAGCTAAAACGCCAAACAAGACTGAAACGATTCCGCCTACTGCAATCAGCTCTTTTGTTATGTACATCGAGAAGCTGCCGCAAGCTTCCTTGGTTTATGTGGCAATGTTTCCTCTTTTTCAGAAGACTTCTCTCAAGCCGATCATAACTCTGCAAATGTTCGGCCACGGCATGGACCGCATAAAAAGTGAGTCCGTGGCAGCGGTGTTCTCGGCTTTGGCGGTGTCCGCCGCGGCTGACCCAAGGCGTCGCTTCTAAACACAAAGAGTAACACTGACATGCTCAGTCATTCTGGATTTGCGGGCACTCCAAACTCCTAATTAGAAAACTCATTTCACTTATCGTCCCAGGAGAAACAAAAGCAGAAAACCTGTTTGTCAGGCGCGATCGCTGTACGCCGGCGCCAGCGGGAGCAGTCCCCGGCGTGTTCGGTCGGGCGCACCGCACGCCGACGACCCGGCGACACTCACCATGCCGGGCTCCTTGGCGAAGTCCACGTCCGGCGCCCGGGCCGTGTAGCCGTTCGGTGATATGTCGAACTCCAGGATCAGGTTCAGCCCGTTCTGGGTCAGCGCCTGGGGGAGCGGGGGGGGGGGGGGTCGGCTGGGTCAGCGCCCGCCGGTCGGACCGTGCGGCCAGTCTCAGCGCGCCGCGTCCCTGAGCAGCAGTTGTTGATGCTGCAGACGGCCTCCGCTCGACATATGTTGTTCTTCCGTTGTTGGCAATCTTTCTACGCAGCTAGGCCAGGTACATAGGTGACAGTTCGGTGGCCTTTTGACAGCGCGCACTAAACGTGCACTCCGCAGCCCTCTCCATATGGGGACGAGGCCATTTTCGGACATCTAGTGTAAGTAACCGGTCAGGTCCGTGACTTCCCAGTGTGTCATGACAAGCCCTGCCTCGTGCCACCGTAATGCCCGCCACGCGAGGTGGTGGGCCTTGGCCAGGGCCTGTTTTCATACGGTTTCGCGCAGTCATGCTACAACACGCAGTTCTAAATCGTACCGCGTAAGAACGTGACCCGAAAGCCTATCAAGCTTACTTCTACCCTGAAATCATCCTGATAATCAGCAGGCGTCGTTGAAACTAAGCCATTCGCGACACGCACGGCGGTCTTCGGCGTGAGTCAAAATTGCGCGGGTTTTTCCGTCCAGTTCTAGAAATCAGAGCCGGGTGGGTCTCTCCACCGCCTCCTCAACTATGAGCGCCCGCCGACCTGTCGTGGATCAGGAGAGCCATCAGCGGTTCACCGGCGGTCCAGCATGCTCACCAGTTCGGTCCTGCCGTTGGTCTTCAGGTCGCTCTGGAACTTGGCGCGGCGCTCCTCCATCGGCCGCTCGCGGTGACCCGTGTAGCGGCCCTGGGGGCACGCGGCCAGGTCAGCACCGGCGGCGCCGAGTCACACAACTCACGTTCGAGGGAGATCAGCGGCGGATGCTTGCGACACATGAATGCGTGTTCTTCGCCTGAACACAAGGTAATTCTGCGGAAGCGTGGCGCTCATCGATTCGTGACATGAGGGTTCTGCGGGCGTCCGTCGATCGCTGACGTGAGAGTTCTGCGGGTGTTCGTCAATTGGTGACGTGAGGGCTCTACGGGTGTTCGTCAATTGGTGGCGTGAGGATTCTGCGGGTGTTCGTCGATCGCTGACGTGAGTGTCCTGCGGGTGCTCGTCGCTGCCTTCCAAAGACACGTGCTAGATCCAACAAAGCTGAATTATTGCGAGAGGCAGCAACCTCAAACAATTAGTGAACAACGCAATGGGTTTGCCCTGCAGTTGTACGCACAGCAAGTGAAGTTCTCTTTAACAGCGCACAGAGCTTTTGTGCCAACACTGTTCAGGATTTCCATGGCAGAACAATGCGGTGCAAGGATGTAACTAGAAATTTTAAAATAATGCTGTGTAAATATTCATGATAATCGACTAGACTTGCGCCCCACCACGTTCATAAAAATATCACGACACGGACATTACCTACGACACTCGTGGCCAACGACAGCACATTTCCTTTACCGAGCGAGCTCAGAAACGTGACGTAGATAGCATCGCTTCACCGCAGAGAGTCAGGTGCGTTGTCTACAGCTCAACGTCGACCACCTTATACATTCTTGTGCCATGCAAACGAACAAAAAATGCGTCTGTCACGCTGAAGTGCACGAGGCGCATTGAAAAGACACATTGCTCCGAAGATAGACCAGCCGTCGAGCTGTTTGACTTGCAGATCGCCTTGAAATACGGTCCCCTCTTTCGGGCCCAGGCCAGTCCCGCTGACGATGATGGATGGCTTCAGGACAGATCAGGGCCGGGCCGACGGCAGAGCCGGCGCTCGGGGCCGGCCGCGGCGCGTGGTGGCGTGAAGCACGAGTCCGCGGGACCGTCGGACCAGGGACCGCTACCAGTGCGGGGCATAGAAACCAGAATGCCATAAGCCTTGACTTTTAACAAGACATGTTTTAGGAAGTCCTGACAAGAACCACAGGCAAGCGCACCACGCGGACCACCACGCTGGCCGTCCCACGCGGTGACTGTACACCAGCCATTGGTGATCTAGACAAGTGCCTGCTATTGAGGGCCTGAGGCCCAGATAATCTGTGGTGGGGCGGCTGGCGGCTTGGGCCGTCATGACGGGCAGCGGCCAGGTCGGGTTTGCAGTAGGTGCCCGTGCCAGGTCCGCGGTGTTCTGGGACCGGCAAGGCCGCGGCCGGGCACACAGTCACCGGCTGATGCAGCGGGTGCTCGTGCCAGGTCTGTGGTGTTCTGGGACCGGCAAGGCCGCGGCCGGGCACACACAGACACCGGCTGATGCAGGGGCGCCCGTGCCAGGTCTGCGGTGTTCTGGGACCGGCAAGGCCGCGGCCGGGCACACACAGACACCGGCTGATGCAGGGGCGCCCGTGCCAGGTCTGCGGTGTTCTGGGACCGGCAAGGCCGCGGCCGGGCACACACAGTCACCGGCTGATGCAGCGGGTGCTCGTGCCAGGTCTGCGGTGTTCTGGGACCGGCAAGGCCGCGGCCGGGCACACACAGTCACCGGCTGATGCAGCGGGTGCTCGTGCCAGGTCTGCGGTGTTCTGGGACCGGCAAGGCCGCGGCCGGGCGCACACAGTCACCAGCTGATGCAGCGGGGGCTCGTGCCAGGTCCGCGGTGTTCTGGGACCGGCAAGGCCGCGGCCGGGCGCACACAGACACCGGCTGATGCAGCGGGTGCTCGTGCCAGGTCTGCGGTGTTCTGGGACCGGCAAGGCCGCGGCCGGGCACACACAGACACCGGCTGATGCAGGGGCGCCCGTGCCAGGTCCGCGGTGTTCTGGGACCGGCAAGGCCGCGGCCGGGCACACACAGACACCGGCTGATGCAGGGGCGCCCGTGCCAGGTCTGCGGTGTTCTGGGACCGGCAAGGCCGCGGCCGGGCACACACAGTCACCGGCTGATGCAGCGGGTGCTCGTGCCAGGTCTGCGGTGTTCTGGGACCGGCAAGGCCGCGGCCGGGCGCACACAGACACCGGCTGATGCAGGGGCGCCCGTGCCAGGTCTGCGGTGTTCTGGGACCGGCAAGGCCGCGGCCGGGCGCACACAGACACCGGCTGATGCAGGGGCGCCCGTGCCAGGTCTGCGGTGTTCTGGGACCGGCAAGGCCGCGGCCGGGCACACACGGACACCGGCTGATGCAGGGGCGCCCGTGCCAGGTCTGCGGTGTTCTGGGACCGGCAAGGCCGCGGCCGGGCACACACAGACACCGGCTGATGACAGCAGGGCCGGCCGATTCCCGGAATGTCCGCCCCACTAATACAAGGAAAACATGACGGTGGAAAAGAGTGGCGGCGCTGGGCACGCCTCAGAACCAGTTTGACATGACGGTGACGTCAGAGGTGGGACCGGCGGCCGGCGGCTTCAGGGGCAGGGACAGGGCGCTGCGCAGATGGCCGTACAGTGCTGGCGACGAACCGACAACATGATGGGACCTGTGGAGGGTGTGACCACCGCGATCGGTGGCGTGCGGGCGCCAGCAACAACTAACGCTTTGGAAGATCGAACTCTGCATTGCGCGGCGACGCCTGTAAGCCGAATAGCGCCGAACACTGTTTTAGCGCCGTCTGTTTAGGCATTCCGCTGACTAATGGTACAGCGCAAATTCCGAATTCCATGTGGTCGGCAAAGTCAGGCGACAGTTGACTTCGAACGCTTGACTTGAAACACCGTCTGTTAAGCTACTCCACTGTTGAAATTTGGGATTTCATGTGGGCGGCAGAGTTATCACGCATTCTTCTAAGTCAGGCGGCAGCTAGAATTTCCGGTAACGCCGATATCACAGACCCTTGTCTTCGGGATTTTCCTAGTCAATTCATGACTGTGCATTTACCTCCTGCGAAGGAAATGACCAGTTCAGCACCGGGGGGAAGGTCTGTTTAGATACATTGAAACCATCACTTCCACGACATTACTGGCTGATAGCTTAACGACGCAGTGCGTTTCGGGTTCATTCGTCCCACACAACGCCAAAAGCCTAATGCTAATCAGTATCGTACTAATTGTGGAGGACTGCATCCACTTCGTGCTCCCCTACGCCCCCCCCTTCCCTTCCCCCCCCCCCCCCCCCGCTCAGTCTAAGTCACGTCGCCCAGAGCGCCTTCTCCGTGGCCATCTGCGGTCGCTGGTGTCACAATGTGGATCATGTAAACGGTAGATCATTTTAACACGTTCTTTCCTGCCTTGGGAGGAGGATTTTTCAAGCATAATATTCGCCCGGCTCATGCATACTTGCAGAGAATTTAACAGGGTTGGGGAGAGTGGCAGACGGGTAATTTTGAAAGATAAGTTGTTAGGGCTGAGAGTAGAAAAATGGTTAAATCTATACGCCACATGGCACAAAAACATGTTTCTTTCCGAACTTGACCACCTTTCTCCTCAAGGTGTGGAACTCACCCAAACTAGAAAGAAAGGCATTCTCCTGAGAGTTGCCACTATTTTCTGAGAAAATTTAATCAACGTGCTTAAATTGAAGCTATACTGCGACTGCATTGATACATGGACGAAAACGTGACACGAACCGATGGAGGAAGGATTGTATTATGGAACAGTGAACAGCACTACACCTATCCCGTTGCAGGAAACTAAACAGATATTGTATTTATGTGACCACTGCCATAAAAGCATTTCAATTCTTTTCAGTAAGTCTGTTGCAAAGTTATGGACAATATTCGCTCAACTATGACAGTGAAAACTGTTGTTTTCATAGCACGACACGTGCTGTGCAGAGCCTGACGGACGGACTACATGTCTGGTTCCAAGTGGGGACAGATAATTATTATGATGATCGTGATTTTGCGCCTCACGATCTTCTAGGGTCGTTTAGAGACGGAGATGGAGGCAAAGACAGCCCAAAAAATCAGAACACGGCTCGACACATGTTCCTGCTGAATGCATAGTGCTCCGTGATTGCTCATCACCAGGCGGGGGATGGCGATACACATACGGAAACACCTCCTTCGGCATGAGTCAGTGACAAGGAGGTCACCAGAACAGTACGCGCCGACACTTCTCGGCTCGAGACTCACCTCGGAGGCGCGCGTCACCTTCTTAAACCAGTCATCCTGCTCGAACTTGGCCTTCTGGTCCGAAACCACGCGTGGCACTTTGAACGTGAACTTCTGCTTGGGCTGCTCGTAGATACCGGCGGACTCGTAAGGCAGCATCGCCGACAGTGACGCCATGACACCACGCCGCGTCAGCACTGACTGGCCAGCCGAGCGCGCCGCGCGGCCGCGCCTCTGACGTCACTTGCCCCGCCCCCGGCCCCGCCCATTGGCTCAGTGATGGCCAATCAGCGCACGAAATACGTCGAGACGGCTGCGTAGGTGGCAGCACGGGGTGCGTGGTGACGCCCTGAGTCAGTAGGCGCGTCAGAGATGTTCGCGGAAGGCCGGAGCTGGAATGTCCGCTCGGTGGGGGAGGTTCCGGCGCGTTCCGGAAGTGGTGCGCCCTCCGCCGGGGTCGAGAGATGCCTGGCTCTGTCGAGTGTAGAGTTACGCGACTGGCAAGGGCGCCTCCTCAACGTATGTCTTGAGGCATTCGAAACGCATTTGTGTCGAGGGCCATATACCATAATACCATGGAAGCGTTGCCGGAATAGCAGTCGGGTCTTTTTCTGATTTTGTGAAATTGTCACCAAACTTTCTGGCAATGAGATGCTTGGGCGACACCTGCAACTTACCTACCTAATCTTACATCGCCTCGGTCCAGCCATGTCAGCAATTATAGCAATTAAGGAGACCTTGGGTACGGGAATGAAAGTTATCAGCAGTTTCCAACAGCATATGAAATTTTCTTTGTTTAATGCAAACAAGTTGCACCTTAAGCTCCAGGTGTTTCGATTGCATCAACTGAGGTGGGTAACAAGTACATGTGTCTTTCGGTATTGAGAGTTCCACATCTAATAGGAAACAAGTCGAGCCCGGTACGGGTCGTCGAGGCACTTCGTTCTAGCCGTGCGAGTCTCGCACTACTCTTAGCGTGATACAAGGCACCGGATGTTAGAAGGTGGAAGCTTAAATGCGCGACAGCGTTGGTTTTTATTCATTGGAAGAGCCTGCAGAGATTCGTAGCTTTTCAACTTTGCACGCAGCTCATTTTGTTCCTAATACTTCTTCGCTGAAAGGTAGTGTTCCACATTTGTATGCAGTTGTGCACTGAAATTACCATCTTGAACATCACTCAGCGCAGTTCACCGCCCTTCCCTTCTTATAACCTAAAACCCTGGTTTCTGAACCACACGCCCACAAAGGTGTGCAGACTATTTCTTGCAGACTATTTCAAGGTTACCCACCCTAATAACATCATTTAATCCTGTCATTCTATTGGCCATGCAGCGTTCAATGCCAACAAACATGTTGTCGTCGAGTAGTTCATATCTGACGTTCGTGAGCACGATTTCCAGATATGGCAGCCGTCAGTTGACCCCCAACCATTGCTGTGCAATCGCTACATTATTCTAACACGATTGGTCATTGGTTGTATTAGTGCCCTTTCGACCAGAAAGGATCATTTCAGGGCAAGCTGATGAGAGAGATGGACGACGGTGGAGCATGATTACATGCGCCCGAGGCGCCCACCGCCGAGCTTTGGCCCGCGCAGGAACCCCTCTGCGGGAAGAATTACGCTTTGTGCTACATAATGCAAGAACAGTAATTCTTTCCGGCTATTACGGAAATTATATTTGTAGTCGAATAACTCAGAATAGTGCTATACCGAGCATATGAATATAAGTAAACACCTTCAACTCACGCATAAACTTGCAACAGCGCCACGAGCAAATACCAAAACACGAGACCTAGCAGTATTTGGTCCAGCACACATCCAGCACCACCGCCGGCCACCTCCCAGGAGAACGAAGAACTTCAAGTGAACATGGTCTCACAAACGTTCCATGACACAATCAAATCATGACGCACTGAGGAGCAGATTTGCTAAATAGATCAATGGTGTTGCCTGCAGCGGCCTTTTGCACATAGAAGTATACCAATAGTTAAAAATGAGCTTATTTCATAATACCTAATGCTTGCTTTAATGTCTTCAAATGTGGACCATTTCCTTTAAGAAGCCGCTGTATCTGCTTTCCCAACTGAAACCGATGTAGCTGCCAATACGCCACGCAGACGTCTGACAAAGAAATCCTATCTCTGTACCTAAAATGGCAGAATGCCGAAGCATTCTGGTCATGCTGACAACATTCCGGACTTTGCTAACCATAATCATCGGCTCCACATGTCTAGTACAGGAGTGCTCCAGCCGCTCGCACCCTCCGTATATTGTGATGTAATTTTCAACAAAATTATTGCTTTAGCTTATTTTATAAAAATTTTAAACCTGAAAACACCCGTTCTTAAATCAAAATAAATTTTGAATAAGATTTTAGAGAAGAAGGCCGTTATGTTAAGGAAACAACGAAGAAAGCTTTTTTCAAGAAGATGCGTAACATGAACCCCGATTAGACATTAACCGTTGTTGAAGTTCTTGGCTGAGATTGGATCCCCGCTGCTCTGGTGGGTGGCCCTTCGGCCGGGGCCGTCACACGTGTGTCGGGGAATGAGTGCCGTTTATTCACTAACAGGGAGAGCGGAGCGGTCTTCGAGCGGTAGCCGCAATACATACTGCAACTGAGGATTTGAACACTTTCCAAACGTTGGAAGATCATAGTGAAAAATGGGCACTCCTCACCATGGTCTTTCAGTTTTCTGAGAACCGAGAAAACTACGCGTGGCAAAGCTGCCGGAATGAATGGCCATCCTTTCAATGGGTGAGTGTTGAAATCCTTCGAATTCCAAGGTAATGATGTCTGCAATATGCAATGACATATTTATTATTAATGCAAGGGTCAGTGATGTCTGCAATATGCAATGATCAAAATTGATAATGCAAGGTATAACGACGGGTCTATCGCAAGCATCATTTTCTTCACCGCCCGCTCATGAAGGGATCTGAACTGAAATGAACTTCAAAATGGAAATGATCCTGAGACAAACTAAATTTCACCTCCCCAGTACGTTTAGAATCTATGTAGCTTATTCCCATAATCTTAACAGAAGTACTTATATATAACACTATAACAATACTTAATACCTACCAATAACTTTAAAAACAGAAGAGCAGAAATCAGCGAGCATAATCAAAACGAACGACGCTCCTCGTACTAGCTGTTCAGTTCAGCGGCGTGGTGGCGGGCTTTCCCAGCTTCTTGACGCCTGTCTATGTAATGGCTGCTCGTGACCACGCTCGAACAATCCCTCCAGTCGGTTGGTGACAACTTAGCGCCCCCCCCCCCCCCCCATCCCTCAACCGCCCGGTGAACAGCTGCGAGATAATCGCCGCTAATGGAGGACACTTGAGCGCCGGCTCGCTCGGCCCGACCGTGCCCGTCGGGAGCGCACAGCACGGCAGTCACAGCGCTGTGGCAGTTCGCGCTGTGTGCGAAGGCGTTCTGCTGTCAGCCGGCGCCCCTGCAAGTCCGAAGGGGGTTTTGGATGTTAGTGAGGCAGCTGGGGCGAAGAGCTGGGAAGGGCACCGACGGGATCTCGAGGTAGGAGTCGGAAAGGTGAGCGTACGCAGCGCCAGCGACAGCAAACGGAGACTGGACGGTCACGTGATCGCTGAGTGCAGATCCTCAATGCCGGATGAAAATCGCATGGCGGAATTCATGTATCTCGAAAAGTTCCATGAGTTGGTGCTAAAAGCTGCTCAAAACGGTGACAATACTTCTCTATCCTATAAAACTCGATTTAGTTTGTTGCACATGTCGGATAGGGATGTCAAGAAATTTCCCAAATTGTGCGAACTTGAGACGGGAAACAAAGAACTTTTTAGGCTTATCCTTCTCGTGCATAATCATGGATATAGTTTTGAACGTTCATGAAAAGTGGGAGGGCAACGAACATCTCAGCCACTGGCTGCCACGGGTAGGGATGCGGAAGCCGGAGGTGGGAGGCAGCGCTTACTTGCAAACGTCGGTAAAATCTAAAATTTCCCCCTCGCCACGTGTGCGCGCATTGAAAACGTTTATGTGTTCCTCGCTGTGGCAACCAGTGACGCCGGATATTATTTTCGGAAAGGGGAGAACATACTTTTCGAGGGCCCTCAAACATTGTGGGCCCACATTCTCACGGCGGTGAGCCCGGTCACCAGCAAAATGTATAGCGTGCGAGGAAGATGACAAAACGTGAACATTTGGGGGATATGTTTGTGTTTACGTACGCACAGCCAGGTCTTAGGTCTTAGCCAAGGATCAGGGCTGCTCCGGGGCTGATGAGCGGCCACACATCCACCAGCCCCCCCCCCCCCCCCCCCCACACACACACCTAAAAACAAACAAAGGCTGCTCACTGAATTTGGTTTGTCTTATTTTGAGGGACCATTTTCCTTGCTTTCCTGCTATTATATCTGAAACAAAGAAGCTAGAATTCTCGGAAGATGCCATTTAAGTCTATGAGATGAGCAAAGCAGATATCAAATGACTGCAGCCAATAAGCCGCCGGCGACTTCCATTTCCCATTTTTAATTGAACCATTCGCTAAATTGACTCCAGGCAGGGGCGTCGTCGGAGTTTTTCGGTGGTGCTTTAACACGCGTCCGGGTGGCCGGTTTGATACCCTTCGCTCGGGTGGGGGTTAGTTTGACCCCCCTGAGATCTCAGAAGCTAAGAGAGCTAGAAACACCAAATTCACAGGGTGTGTTGGGCTGTACGTGAACTCACTTAGGTCCGAGTTTCAGGTTACCAGGTCATGACCTTCGGGTCAAATAAGGTTAAACAAGGTCATGTTCTAGGTTACTCTCCAAAGGGCCCCTTTTACCTAGATAACTGTTCTCAGCAAAAGGCCGCATGCTCATTTAAGTTCAGTGACCTTGCTTGACCTTTCAAAGGTCATGGTGACCAAAATCATGCAAGACTGCTTTGAGTTTTGTATTTGAATAGGCGGCAAAGATTACGCTATGCAGGATGATGGATGATGTGATGTCAACAAAATGTTGACCTGAGTCATTTTAGGTCAGTGACCTATTCTGATCTTTAAAAAGTTCATGGAAGGTGTAAAATGCGGTTACTATTATCAACAAATTTGAAATGAGCACCAGAAACTACTCCATACAGCAAGTCCTAGAGTAATAAAACAGGTTGGTTTTGACCTTGGCCTCACCTTCATACCTAACCCTAGGTCAATGTAATTTGTTCATTCAATTGTTGTGTTACCTAAGAAAGCATCTCAGAGATTATGGCTTCGTCTTATACTCCGTTGCTGGATCAGATTGCTAAGTTTTTTTATGACAGACGATCCGTTATTCAATTGTCTACAACTTTGCAAAATTTGGCGCGGCTACGCCGCGCTGTCCGGAGACCATTCCGAAAAACCTTCGGAGGGGGGGGGGCAATTTGACCCCCCACGCGAGCGCGTTTTAAATGACAGGGTAGATCAAAACGGGCTTAGCACGTTTTGCTCGTGTGGCCAATCGATGTTCGTCCGCAGACAAGCACGCTGCCTTCAGAATCGAATAGTGAAGACATTACATGAAGCAATTTTGAGCATGATGATTGACGGCTTTGCGGAGCAACAGCACCAACGCCAAGCGTTGCAGTCTCCATGGCTCGCGAGTTTTTGGTCCGCAGATAACACTAGGCGGCGGCCGGCGGGCGAACAGAAACGACGTACATCAGAAAGTAATGCTTTTAATGTGCTGTGAAATCAATTCATAGGCTTGAAATGCACTCCAGGTTGTATATTTCACCTGTACAATTTTCAGATTGGTGCTCGGAACAAATTAGCATTTACAGCGCCCCGAGAGCTCGGGGTGCTGTGAGCGACAGAGATTCCGCCATTAAACCAAAAGCTCCATTGACGTAATGGCAGAATCTCTGTTATGAGTTCAGTTGTTCGGTTAGGAGCCTCCAAAGTAAGTTATCGACCTCCAGCTTAATCAGTACCAAAAAGTACTGGATGATAAACGACGATTTAAAGCCAACATTTGTTCTTTTGACTGTATTCTCCGCTTGAAGCCGTGCTTATGACCGGACTGCGAGCGTGCGTGCTCAAAACCATCCTTAACAATTTACTCTTAAAACGGAGGGACGTCGTCAAGCAAGCATCTGTTGCCCAACTCTACACAGGTTGTTGGCCCGTCCCAACCCACCTCATGAGAGGTGCTCATTGGTCCCCGTACCGATTCATCAGTATGCAGAGGTCAGGGGTCTCCTACTTAGTGAGGGGGGGGGACTTCAGCCACCTCCTAACTTAGCCCCCCCCCCCCTCCCCAGGGGCCAGAAGACGCCCCTGTCTCTGTGCACAGTGATTGGCATTTGCCTCTTGCAATGGGCTGAAACCACGCTTTGGCCGCCCCGAGTTCACCGCGGTAAAACAAACGAGTTAACGCATCGCTTGCTGCGGGAGCGTGATGGATGATCACAAAACATCTATGGAAGCTGTGCAGTGCGGACTGGTAACAATGGAGTGCATTGTCAAGGAAACTGGCCCAGCTTTTTGTAATACCTGCGGCGTGCGAATGAACCCGAGCAAAGATCAAACGTCGGCCTCCGCTCAATCTCTGCTCGGTTATCACCGCATTCACGCTCTTCCGAATGCCGGAAACTTCAGTCCAGTCATGTTATCCCTAACTCCGTTGTTGTATTTGTCTTACCACTGCCGCAATATTTCAACATAGCACAGCTTCCGTTTGATCCACAATCCACAGTTTGTCGAATGCATACTACCGCGGCCTTAACCGTAGCATGAAGTATCACTGCATTAGCTATCTTTGCATAAAATCCCCGCGATCGTCCCCGATCTATCACCCTACATTTCGTGCGCTGGCGCTGTTTGCGGGAATCAGCGTCCTCCTACAAGCGGGGACCCAGGATTTATCGTTGCTCGCATGGCAAGGTGGATATCTTTTCGGCGGCTTGACTACCACTCAACTCAAGGTCATGTAACCACTTAGCTTGTTTCACCAACCATACGATTGATGGTAACCCTATGGGCTTAAAAACAGACCCTCGCCACAGCACGAGCTGCTCATCAATCCCGTATCGAGTTGCCAGCACGCATGTGCCCTCCTCACGCTCGTGCTGTGAAAATTTCAGGCCCTTACTGCTCCCTGTTTAACCTGTACAAGTTCAACAAGCAAATGAAGACAAACAAATCTACGTACATACAAGTGTAGATAGTGGTTTATATGATAGCTTATTATATACTGCTCATAGCACCGTAGATATACTGTAGATAGTGTATTGTATGACAGCCTCGTTTGAACTCACAACCAGTACAAATAGGCTCTGCACCTCATCTTATTAGCCAACCTCATTCAGCAATCCGGGAACTTAACTTGTTCATACGAAGATTACTTGGCTCTAACTATGGGCATTTAACATGGACAAAAGCTATCACATCTAACTGTCTAACATCGTTTTACCTAGCATGGAGCTAGGAGCTATCACATGCAAACGTGTTTTCTACTTTCCTAACCACTTAGATGAACCGACAGGGCCCTCTCAGGTCTGGAAAGGGCGTATCATATGCTCAAGTGGGGCCATTATTAAATCATTCAGAAGGGCCTTTGCGCCGATCAGGGATGCCCTGAGCCGAGATGAATCTATATGTCGGTCAGGTAACACCAGTACCGCACAGTGCGCTCCACATCGGCATGAGCCTCAGAGCGCGCTTCCCGATCAGCTACAGAGCCGGGGTCAGTGATTTGTACCGGTCAGGGTCCACAGAGCCTAGCAGAGGGTCCTGTGCTTCCAAGGGGCCCCGAGCCAACCAACGAGACGAAACTCCACGAGCGGAAAGGTATTTTGGGCCATTGAGGAGGTGTCTGCCTCCCCACGGTAGATGCCGATATACGGCCTGAACATGAGCTGGTCAGAATTTTAAGAGCGAATTGATGGTCCAGGCGCCAGAGTTTCATGCGCCTTGATTTCGCCGGCTACTCTTGAAGAGGTTGAAGGTTTGTCGCAGCATTTTAGACGAAGACAAATTCAAAAGCCTTAAGTACTAACTGCCAAGAACAGCGCGACAAAACTATAAAACTCGCGTTTCTCCGGTAATAACCAAGTTAGAAAATAAAGGCCCTGCTGTCATATACTCTTCATCTGGCTCACGTCCGCCGTCGGCGGCCAGTGTCCTGACCCGGCTGTCCTCCGCATGACTGACTGTGAACTGGTCGTATGACTGTTTTGCTGCATATTCATGGATCAACATTACTACTTATTGGTGTGTTAAGCATATATTGGACACCTGCAGCGGTATTTTTCCGAATTATCTGCCCTTACACCACACCACCGCAGACAAAAAACTGTCGGAAAGCTACCCGTCTAAGGCGTGAGTTGGACCAACGGACATTCAGTTGCCATTTATTCAACGTGGCCGATTTAATCTACCTTTGTATGTAGACAGGGGCGCAGCCAGAGCCTCGCCAAGTATGCACAAGGTTGACAAAAGGATCCTGATGGTGTCCCCCCCCCCCCCCCCCCCTCCTCCAAAGAATCGTCGGATATAGTTGATTTGTTAAAAAGAGGCGCGGTTTTCTTCGTTTTATTGTTAGTTTTTCCTGTTG